GGGGGGGGGGGTGCATAAATTGCAAGAAGTTGAATCTTTTGTTTCTTTTTAAGTACAGGGACTGGCCTTTTTACTGTCCTGTACCCTGCCCTATGCATGTTTAGGGTTAAAAACTTATAATAAAACTTACAACATTTTAAAACTGTTTTTTTTGTTTGGGTTTCAAACTTTGCAATATTTTATCTGATTTTTTTGGTGTTTCACGCAATTTCTGAAAAAAATGTAAAAATTGAAGAAAAAAACCGTTAACGATTGTGAAGAAATGTCTGTAAACGCCCTTCATAAAATCAACATGGATAACTAACGGTAACATAAATATGAGATATCTAAAGGTACACACCACACATTCAGTACAATTAACTTGCAACTCCATGTAACTCCACAAATTTATTCACTTCTAGAAGAGACTAAAATATGGATGAAAATGAGGATGAGAAGCTTGCTCGGATGCTTCAATCACAGTTTGATCAGGTTCCTTTTCTCAATCAAAATACCTTTGATTGATTGCTGGGATAGCAAGGGGTAGGAGATCTAGTAACCTACTGTATCATGGGGGTAGGTAGGGGGTAGGTAGGGAGGAGGACAGGCCCGTCTTGTTTCTTCTTCATCCTCTCTTTGGTCCTGGATCTGTGGTCACCCCCTCTGCGAGTTCTGCGAGCATAGCAGGAGCAGTAAAAGCTGACCAAACCCTTTATTGTCAAAGACCTTCTGGAACTGGAGAATCTAGAAGCATATTATCCGTTTTGTTTGATAGTTTGTTTTGTTTTCCTTTTTTTTAATGTGTGGCGCTTGGCCACTTTCAGAACAAAATGGCTTCTGGAGTTATTAATATTTCAGTTTTTGTCAGAATAGAGTGTGGTGCTTGGCCACTTTCAGATACAAATGGCTTCTTGAGTTATTAATATTTCAGTTTTTGTCAGAATAGAGTGTGGTGCTTAGCCACTTTCAGATACAAATGGCTTCTGGAGTTATTAATGTTTCAGTTTTAGGCTGAATAAAGTATGGTGCCTTGCCATCTATTCAGACTAAAATGGCTACTGGAGTTCTCAACCTGGAGTAAATATGAATTCTGGAGTAAGCATGAATAATGAAGTAAGGATTAATCTTGGAGTAAGCAAGAATCCTGGAGTAATAATGATTCCTGGAGTAAGGATGAATCCTGGAATACAGAAACCTTGGAGATCCTGATTCCTGAAGAAAGAATCAATCTTGGAGTAAGGATAAATTCTGGAGTAAGCATGAATCCTGGAGTAAGCAAGAATCCTGGAGTAAGCAAGAATCCTGGAGTAAAAATGATTCCTGGAGTGAGGATGAATCCTGGAGTACAGAAACCTTGGAGTAAGGATGAATTCTGGAGTAAGGATGAATCATGAAGAAAGGATGAATCCTGAAGATAGGATGAATTCTGAAGAAAGGATGAATCCTGGAGTAAGGATTAATTTTGGAGTAAGGATTAGTCTTGGACTAAGGATTAATCTTGAACTAAGGATTAATCTTAGACTTAGGATTAATCCTGGAGTAAGGATTAATCTTAGAGTAAGAATTAATCTTAGAGTAAGGATTATTTTGGAGTAAGGATTAATCTTGGATTAGGGATTAATCTTGAACTAAGGATTAATCTTGGACTAAGGATTAATCTTGGAGTAAATATGAGTCCTGGAGTAAGCAAGAATTCTGGAGTAATGATGAATCCTGAAGAAAGGATGAATCCTGGAGTAAGGATAAATTCTGGAGTAAGGATGAATCTTGGAGTAAGGAGTTCTCAACCTGGAGTTAATATGAATGCTGGAGTAAGCATGAATAATGGTGTAAGGATTAATCTTGGAGTAAGGATTAATCTTGGACTAATTATTAATCTTGGAGTAAGCATGAATCCTGGAGTAAGCAAGAATCCTGTAGTAAAGATGATTCCTGAAGTAAGGATGAATCCTGGAGTACGAATAAACCATGTAGTAATGATGAATCCTGGAGTAAGAATGATTCCCGGAGTAAGGATAATTCCTGGAGTAAGGATAATTCCTGGAGTAAGGATAAATTCTGGAGTAAGGAGTTCTCAACCTGGAGTAAATATGAATTCTGGAATAAGCATGAATAATGGAGTAAGGATTAATCTTAATTCATGAGGCAAATGCGCAAATGGCACTGTGCTTGTATACTGTGCAGCAGAATTTGGTGGAGATGACTTTAAAACTTTGAATCAGGAACTAATGGCCATGATTCAAACTGAACTTGGTACTCTTAAAGAGCAGGGTTACTGCTCTTAATTGGCAGGAAACTTTAACGCTCATGTCGCTAACGATACACAAGGAATACCATCGAACAACAAGGATATCAACTAAATTGGTAAACTAATTAGAGAGTTTATACAGACAAACAACTTGTCGATTGTCAATAAAGACCAAAATAGATGTAACGGAGTGTTTACTAGAATTTATGCAGTTGGCAGCCATAAGCAAGGCTAAGAGTAAAGGTCATATAAAGATCCTTCTCATCCAGTCAATGTATTACAACAATTGTGTGCGGGTTCACATTGCAGGTAGTCTCTCTGCACCCCTTTCCAGAAATCTGATCAAAGGCATAGAGGAGAAGATGGTGGCAGTTGCTCAAAAATATGCAAATGCAGTTATTGGACTATCCAGGAATGGCTTAGGCAGAGCAGTAGCAGCCCATGCTTTGTGGGAAAGATTTGCTATTCCAGCAATACTATACTGTTTAGAGGCAATGGTACATTCTAAGGGAGTCCTTGAGAACCTAGACAGAATCCAACACATGGTTGCTAGGTACATTTTGCAACTTCTCAAATCCTTGGCCCGAATTGCAGGGGCCCTAGATGCTGGGTTCATGCAAATGAAAGTCAGGGTTATGACTCGCACAGGGATGTTTGTATGGAATATTTTAAACAGGAAGCATGACAAAATCCTCAAAGCTGTGTTTGATTCAGTAATGAGGTCTCCGTTAGATTCATGGGCTAGGCAGGTAGAAGCCCTGAAAGAAGCGGGGGGGGGGGGGGTCATCGGTTAGTTGGCCCCAAGAGGTTGCTGAAGAGTAGCTTAAAGGATGTTGCAATTAGTAATGTTATCTCGCAGAAAAGAGAATTATCTCCCTTGCATGCCACAACCCCGCATATGGTTTAAACTCCAGGAACATGTAAATGACAATGCGGAATTACGCACCTTTTACAGAGTCAGGGTAGGTGATGCAGGTTTGGGTAACAGGAGACCAAACCCAATGGGAAAACTGTACTTTCATTGCCCATATTGTCTTAACAAAGGAGTGGTGGCCAAACTAACAGAACACCACGTAATAATAGAATGCTTGGGTGTTAGATTCGATCGCACTCAGTTTAATATCCTGAATGTACAGTAAACTCCTTAGGTTCCAGGACTGCACTAAGGAAGTATCTAGGGAGGGATAATGCGGGCTATATGTATAAAATGCCTTATTTTTCACATTAGCTTTATGTCAGGTAAATAGAAGGAAGTTAAAGTAGTAATAATTTAAATTTTAAAAATAAAGGTGTGTATTGATTTGTATATAAACTAGAAATTCAAGGCGCTTCGCGCCCTTCTTTCTAGCCTTAGAGGGCGCTTCGCGCCCATCTTCTAAATTAATTGTAAACATGTTCTCTTTGTGTACATCGTAAAACTAAACAAAAATAATTTGCGGATTTTTACAAAAAATTTCGCGGATTTTCAAAATTTTAAAAAATTTAATGACGATCGAATTTTGATAGAGACAAATATTTGAAATTTTGATGATTCATAAACCTTCCCTGGGCTCCCTAGATGTCCCACAAAAAATTTGGGCCCGATCGGTTCAGCCGTTTTGACGTTTATTGGATACAAACAANTTTATCAACATTTATTCAAGAATTTTATTTAAATTAAAAACTACCCTCACTTCCACTGATTTTTCAAAATCTTAATTTCAACATTTATTATTTTTTTTCATTTTCAAACTACAGTCACTTCCAAGACAAAAACTTAAGCAAGTCTTAAAGAAAAAAAAGAGGCAATTTAAAGATTTTTAAAGTTGAATTTCTTGCTAAATATTTTTTTTTTTATCAAGATTTTACAAAAAAATCTTATACTTATATAAGAAAAGTATCTGCTAACTACCATACATACCTATGTTAATAAAAAATTCACCTATTTTTCAGCAAAAAAAGGCATTTTATACGTTCACTAATGCGGGAGTACCAGATATGATAAAACGAGCCTATCACATCCACAACATCCTCCAGCGTTGGCAGTTCATTACGACATCAATATTACATCCATGTAGCTGCTGCTTCTCGCCTCACTATTGATTGCAGGGTACACTTTCGCCATCAGGATGTATGGCTAGACGGCATCTGGTATGTACCTGCCTTAATTGATTTCCCTTAGAGTAGGGGGAATGAGATTAGGGTGCCAGATTGAATCGGCAGGGGAATCAGCACCTGACTGAGACCCTTCCCAGAGTCGGTCTGGGGATCCCACATTGGGGGTCTTTCACGATCTTTTTCATTTAATTTCGTTTCATGTCTGTTTGTTTGTCCGTTTGTGTTCAATAAACGTCAAAACAGCTGAACCAATCGGGCCCAAATTGTATGACCCAAGGGAAAGTTTATGGATGATCAGAGTTTCAAAAAGTTTTAAAAAACGCACGAACAAATATTTGAAAATCCGCGAACGTTTTTTCTTTTTGTTTTATACTGTACAAAGAGAAGATGTTCACAGATAGAGCCACAATTAAAAGTTAAAATAGAGGATGGGCGCAAAGCGGCCTTAAAGCCAAGTATATTTATACTTTGCTTGTCTGTATGTTTGATTGTCTGTCTGTTTGTTGTATCCAATAAACGTCAAAACAGCTGAACCGATCAGGCCCATATTTTGTGTGGGACCTCCCCCCAGGGAAGGTTTATGGATGATTAAAATTTCAAAAGTTGTATCCAAAAGCTTTTGATTTGCGTAAAATTTTAAAAATGCGCAAAAAAGATATTTGTTTTTAATTTTTTTCTGTACTAAGAGAAGTTAAAATAGAGGATGGGCGCAAAGCACCCATAAAGTCTAGTAAACTTAAATTTTATGAGATGAAAAAAAAGAACACAGGTCCAAAAACCCCAATTCTGAACAGAAAACTAATTTTTCCTGTGTTTTTCACTCTTCACTTTTCAGTTAAAGATTTAAAAAGATACAGATCCTTTAAGTCCATTAAAGTAAGAAAAGTCTGTACCTGAAGAATATGCCTGATTATGTCAGTACACATATCGTCCAGTGCAGGAACCCTTGCTAGGGTTAGTACACTCATCAGAGGGAGAAGAGAATTAATCATCTTTCCATTATCTCTGCTTCCTTCAGGTTTACACCTACTAGCTATCCCCTTCTTTATCCATGGTTATCCTGAAGTAATAACATATTTATTTATTACAAAGAGCACTATCCTTTTCTTGTAATGTAAATTTTGTTTCTATTATGTGCATTGACAAGGAAGATAAAAAATTATTTGTAAGAAATCTTATCAAAAAGTTCTCTATTGTTTATCATTTTCAAAAATCCTTAAGTTTGCTTAGGTATTTCACAAATTTTTCTGCAGAGCATTATGCAAAAATCCGCAAACTTAATATTGCAGAATTCCGCATTTTAAAAAAATTGATTTCGCAGAAACAAGCACAAAGAATGTGAAATCCCGCGCACAACTAAAGCTGCAGCTTTAACAAAATTTTGCTAAAACTTTAACAAAAAGGAAATATCTGTTTCCTGCAGTTTTTACTCGGAATTTGCATCAATTTTTGCTCTCAATTTGAACATTTTTCCCTCACTTTTTTCATGCAATATTTGCGCATTTTTTCGTGGAATTAAATCATTTATTTCGCGGAATTTGCATATTTTTTAGCGTAAAACAATGCACAAACTGCGGAAATTTTTGCGTTTTTTTCTCTAAAAAATGCAGAATTTGCGGCGGAACAAAAAATATTCATGCATAATGCGGAATGTTATCAAAAGTTTTTTCTATTTTACTGAAAACAATACTTCCAGCATGATATCAAAATTTAACAAATAAGGAAGATACTGTAAAATAAAACTTACGTTACTATGCAATCTAGGAAATGGTATAATGCTGTACACACATTTATTATTTAACCAGTTGAATCATTTTTATCTGAAATAAAAAATCGTTTGTTTTAAATAAAATTATAGTTTAAAAAATTTACAAAGCATTTATTTTTTGTGTTAATCTAATATGAAAACGTTTTCAATGTAAAGGTTCCCTTGTATTCAGACAAATTCTCTCCAGCAACATTTGTTCCTGATATATCCAGGAATCTAAGTGTACTTCGACAAAGCTGTAGTATCTGCAGTAGTCCTTTGTATGTGAGTTGTTTACAGTATCTCATGTTCAGGTTCTCTAAACAAGGCAGGGTTCCCTTGTATTCAGACAGATTCTCTCCAGTTATATTTGTATTTGATATATCCAGGGATCTTAGTGTACTTCCACAAAGCTGAAGTATCTCCAGCAGTTCTTTGTTTGTGAGCTGTTTAAAGTCACTCATGTTCAGGTTCTCTAAACAAGGCAGGGTTCCCTTGTATTCAGACAGATTCTCTCCAGTTATATTTCTTTTTGATATATCCAGGGATCTTAGTGTACTTCCACAAAGCTGTAGTATCTGCAGCAGTCCCTTGTTTGTAAGTTGTTCACAGTCTCTCATGTTCAGGTTCTCTAAAAAAGGCAGGGTTCTCTTGTATTCAGACAGATTCTCTCCAGTTATTTTTGTTTCTGATATATCCAGGGATCTAAGTGTACTTCCACAAAGCTGTAGTATCTGCAGCAGCCCTTTGTTTATGAGTTGATCACAGAATTGCATGTCTAGGTTCTCTAAACAAGGCAGGGTTCCCTTGTATTCAGACAGATTTTCTCCAGTTATTTCTGTATATGATATATCCAGGGATCTAAGTGTACTTCCACAAAGCTGTAGTATCTGCAGCAGTCCCTTATTTGTGAATTTTTCACAGCTACTCATGATCAGGTTCTCTAAACAAGGCAGGATTACCTTGTATTCAGACAGATTCTCTCCAGTTACTTTTGTTACTGATATATCCAGGGATCTAAGTGTACTTCCACAAAGCTGAAGTATCTGCAGCACTCCTTTGTTTGTGAAATGATAACACTCACTCATGTTCAGGTTCTCTAAACAAGGCAGGGTTCCCTTGTACTCAGACAGATTCTCTCCAGTTATATTTGTATTTGATATATCCAGGGATCTTAGTGTACTTCCACAAAGCTGAAGTATCTGCAGCAGTCCCTTGTTTGTGAGTTGTTTACAGTAACTCATGTTCAGGTTCTCTAAACAAGGCAGGGTTCCCTTGTATTTAATGAATATTTCACCAGTAATAATCGAATTCCTCAAGGTCAAAGATTTTAGAGTACTCCCACACTGTTCCAATATTTGTAGAAACCAGTAATTATTTAGACTTCTATCATCATCAACACAAATCAGTTGTAGAGTTTGGAGTTGTTTTGAAACTATGTTCACATTTATTCCAGAAATAAATTCAATGCTTCTTACTATAATCAAGGTAGACAAGGATGGAAGGGAGAATATTTTATTTAATCCAGTTGATGTAAATTCACTTGTTTCCCACTCCCAGTAATTTTCTTTTCCAAGTTGAAACATGAGAAACCCTATGCATGCTTAGAGTTAAAAACTTTTAATAACTTACAACATTTTAAAACTGTTTTTGTTTGGGTTCAAACTTTGCAATATTTTATCTTATTTTTTTTTGGTGTTTCACGCAATTTGAAAAAAGTGTAAAAATTGAAGAAAAAAAACTGTTAACGATTGTGAAAAAATTTCCGTAAACGCCCTTAATAAAATCGAAATAGATAACTAACGGAAAATTCGGAAACAAACGGTTACCTAAAAATTTTTTAAAGAAAAAGCTAGAAAAAATTAGAACGTGCCCAGTCCTAGGCATAAATATAAGATACCTTAAAGATACATACCACACATTCAGTACAATTAACTTGCAACTCCATGTAACTCCATGTAATTATATTAAAAAAACGGCTAGAAAATATTAGAACGTGCCCAGTCCTAGGCATAAACATAAGATACCTTAAAGGTACACACCACACATTCAGTCCAATTAACTTGCAACTCCATGAAACTCCACACATTTCTTCCAATTACCTTGCAAGTACTACTTTATCTTAACTTCAAACAAAACTAGCAAAAAACATGTTTCTAAAATTCAATTTAAAATTATTGGCGTTTTATACTAGAAATAGTAAAAGACAGTTTTAAAAACAAAAAACTGAACTTCTTTTATATATATATATATACTTTGCTTGTATGTCTGTTTGTTTGTCCACTTGTGACCCAAGGGTAGGTTTATGGATGATCAGAGTTTCAAAAAGTTGTATCCAAAAGCTTTTAACTTGCATGAACTTTTAAAAACGCACGAAAAAATATTTGAAAATCCGCGAACGTTTTTTCTTTTTGTTTTATACTGTACAAAGAGAAGATGTTCACAGATAGAGCCACAATTAAAAGTTAAAATAGAGGATGGGCGCAAAGCGGCCTTAAAGCCAAGTATATTTATACTTTGCTTGTCTGTATGTTTGATTGTCTGTCTGTTTGTTGTATACAATAAACGTCAAAACGGCTGAACCGATCAGGCCCATATTTTGCCTGGACCTCCCATGACCCCAGGGAAGGTTTATGGGTGATTTCAAAAGTTGTACTAAAAGCTTTTGATTTGCGTAAAATTTTTAAAATGAAAAAAAAAAATATTAGTTTTTTAGTTTTTTTATGTACATAGAGAAGATGTTCACAGATAAAGACACAATTAAAAGTTAAAATAGAGGATGAGCGCAAAGCACCCATAAAGCCTAGTAAACTTAAATTTTATGAGAAGAAAAAAAAGAACAAAGGTCCAAAAAACCCCAATTCTGAACAGAAAACTAATTTTTCCTATGTTTTTCACTCTTCTGTTAAAGATTTGAAAAAAGTGAGATAGATGAATNGGGGGATTGTGGGCCCCACTTTACAGGTCTAGGTGGGGAACACTGCCCCCTCCTGTGTACGCCCTTGGAACTTAAAAACAGGTAAAATATATTTATTTCAATGTATTAATTACCTAAAACTGTTTCAACTTCTTCAGCAAACTTGATGAGCTGATCTGTTGTAAACTCGGTAGAAAACCTCCAGAAATGAACCAGTTTATCCCCACATCCTTCAACTCTGTTCTTGAGAGTAGAGGACACTCCCCTCAGCATCTTCTTACTCCTGTAATCCAGGAACTGCAAAATGTTTATCACAGAATGTTGAAAGGAGAGAGAATTATGATAATGTTTCTCAAATTTTTATAAATATCGCTGATATCGATGATTAGACAGAGGTTAAAAGGTTACCATTGCTTATCAGACATGATACTTAAAAAATAGGAGGATACTTAAAATTACGTCTACAGATCCTTTAAGTCTATTAAAGTAAGAAAAGTCTGTACCTGAAGAATATGCCTGATTATATCAGGACACATATTGTCCAGTGTTAGTACACTCATCAGAGGGAGTAGAGAAGTAATCTTCCTTCCATTATCTCTGTTTCCTTTAGGTTTATATTTACCTAAAATCTTCCCTTTTTTCCTTTTTTTTGAACTTGCACCTGTTTCTGTCTTGTACTCTTTCTCTTCATATTTTTCCTTTTCAACTGTTTTGGGAATCTTCCCTACTTTTTCTACATCAACTTGACGTTTTCTGCAACAAGCACCAATTTCAGTTTCTCTGTCAATCTGATCAGCCCCTGGTAATCTTTCTTCCTCTTCATATCCCAGTTCTTGCAGTATTTTTGATGCATCAAAAGAAAAGCCACCAAAGAACTTGATATAACCATTATTTACCAGATCTAGTGTAATTTTTGATGCGTAAGAACCAGAGAAGCCAAAGCGCATCTTTAGGAATTCTATTGTTGGATTTTCTCCAGGCTGGCAAGTTCTAAACTCTTGTTTGAGGATAGATTTAAGAACTCTCCTCTTATTCAATTCAAACACAAACTCCTGTTTATCTTTGTATGATCTTTTTTCTTTTTTAAAATGTTCATCAATAAAAACATTTCCGCAAATATTTCCACAGTCTACTGCACAATGTATACATGTGTGTTTTGCTTCTAAGTTTACATCATAGCATATGCTGTGTGAATAGTTTCCACAGGATAAACATTTAACCATCTCTGGGTCCCAGGTTTGATACAGGCAGATGCAAGAGATAATTCCAACCTTGGTTTTCCCTGTGGTTTCGTCTTCTGATCCTTCCTCAGAGGATGAATATTTGTTTCTCCTTTCCTTCTCTTCATCCAATCTATTGTACAATTTATTATTCTAGTATTTTTTAGATTCAAAGGACCTCATTAGTCTCCTTGAGTTTGTAATAACTCTTGTAATATTAGAGATAAATGGTGCTAAATTTGCACCTATATTCTTTCAATCCATATGGGACAGGATAAATTTTTTTTTTATTTTTAGCTAACATATATACATACATGCATGCATACACACAGAGGGTTGTTAATCGTTTTTGAAAACGATCGTTAAACGATCGTTTTTTGTTTCGTTTTAAATCATTTTCAAAAACGATCCTTTCGTTTTCGGAAAAAAATGGTCGTTTTTAAAAATGACCCACTTGTTATAAACTTTTAGAAAACTAATAATAATTACGATTTGCGATCGTTTTTATACGATTGTTTAAAAAAAAAACGATAATTTTTGAAAAAACGATTGTTTTTGAAAAAATATTTTATTGACATTTATGTTAACTAAGGGTTGTCGTTAATGATAGTTAACGAAACAACGAAATTTATAAAATCAGTTGTTTTTGGAAAAACTATAGTTTTTGAAAAAAAATTTCATGCAACTTTATTGAATGTCGTCTTACATGAAGTTTAACAGTTGTGGGGGAGTTAAAATTTCTAGATATTTTCTATAAAACTACTTAATGATTAATACAGATGCCCTTTAGGTCGGTTTCCTCTCTTCTTTAACGATCGTTAATGAAGGGTTGTCGTTAACAATCGTTAACGAAGGTTTGTCGTTAACGATCGTTAACAAAGGGTTGTCGTTAACGATCGTCAACGAAACAACAAATTTTATAAAAACGATCGTTTTGAAAAACGATCATTTTGAAAAGCAATTGTTTTAAAAACGACCATTTTTAAAAAACGAACATTTTAAAAAACGATCTTTTCGTTTTCGATTTTTCGTTGCCATTTTCCTAACGAAACGATGGTTTTTCAAAAGAATGAAAACGTTAACATCCCTATACACATATACATACAAATATATATATATATATATACATATGAGGAAAGAGCTTTATTAAATACAGGGTGTTTCTGAAAACAGTTGTTTTAGGCTTTTTAGCCTACTAAATATTGTTTAAATGTGCTGAAAATGCTATCAGTAGGTACAATATCCCAAAATGGGGGTGGGGGGGTGGTCGATGAAACATTTTTCTCTAAAATGCCGTTTTAACCTTCAAAAGAGGACCTAACATTAAAAATGTGCTTGGTCTGCAGCAAAAGTGGGGGCCTCTTGTAATATTTATGTCGTACTTAATTCATAGAGTAAATTCGCAAATCCTGAATTGCGATTAGAACCAATCCATGCTCATAGAAAGATATGACTCTGTCATATCTATATTGTGATTGCCTATTACGTACATATATTAACCAACCATAACTTGTAATTAGGCTGTAAATAACCCATTCCAAACATGAAATACGAAATAAAGATCAGTTGATTGAGACTCTGCTTTTGATTAAGGTTATCAGAGGCATAATTTAGCTTGAAAGACAGGTTGGTACTCCTTGAATTATAGGAGTGTAGATTGTGCAAGTAGTACTGTGCATTGAATCAATTTAGCTTGAAAGAATACTTGTTTCTCATTGAAAAAGGCAAGCAAAGGTTGTGCCTGAATAGTTGGTATAGACCAAACACAGCTTGTTCGATAGCCCCCGCTTGTGTCCTGTGGACATTCAGAGCCTGAGATTTAGTCTTGTTTGATTGCTAAAAAGAATAGACCTGGATAGATACATCTCGAGTAAATTATTATGGAGTTAGGTATTTGCTTCAAAACTGATGGCAGCGGCGTGAATCAAAGAACCCAAAAAGAGTAGATGTAAATGCCTAGACTCCCAAGAAAAAAGAATCAAGTGAGTACTTGGTTTAACAGAGTAATAGCAGGGACCAGGCGAGGAGATATCTTCGAAGATAAGATAGCAATAGCAACACTGGATACTGGGGAGACTTTATATTCTAGGCTACCATCTAGAAAAGAGGTTTCAGAAATAGAGATGAAAATGGCAGG